CAACGCACTGTCTCCTCTCCTCCAGAGCACCGCTGCTCATAATTCATCATTAGTATATCCTCTTTTATCCATAACACTTCTATTATGTTGAGGTTCTGTTAACATTCCGAGATTTATAATACTGCTTTCTCTCCATGAGCCGATATCCTCCTTTTAGCTCCATGGTCTCCTGCTTTCCGACTACTGAGCCCATACTGTTGAACCATCGAGAAGTCCAAAAGTCTGTTAGCAACACCTCGAGATTTTTGTAGGCTTTCCCCTTCTACTTAATGGTTTCCACCTTCCCGACCACATTCTTTCACTTTCGAGCTCTCTGTTTGTTTTCCTCTATCAATTGGACGAATACCACTTCGGGCCGGGCTCTAAGCTAGCCTCGTCTGAGCAGTCTCCTACTTTCTGACTGTTTCCAGACATCCGAAACGTAAACGATTTAGGCTGTGCAGTCAAACATATGCCGTCTCTCAGCCTGAGAGCTTCGTTTGACATGCTAACTTGCTTTTTATATAGCCTCTGTTGTCCAGCAATTTTTCCTTACTTATGACAATCATTACTGTTATTCCCACCTTAAGTTGGCAGTCTAGCTTCATCTTGCTGACTTATTCCGTTTCGTCTAAACGGTCTCATGCTTTCTGACCCCTCTCAAACGTCTGAGATCTAAATTATCTAGGTCCTGCCAACGTAACGCTTTGTGTTTCTCATCTTATGAGCACTGCTGGTCGTGCTTTATCTATCTATTATACTCCCCTGACAAGCTTAACATGTCTATTTCTGCACAATCTCTGTTGGCATTCCGGCAATAATAACATTGCTTTCTCTCTATGAGTTGACATTCTAATCTCGTCTTAATGGTCCCCTTTCCGATTGCTGAGGCCTTACCGATGAAGCATCGACAGATTCAGTGTTCTGTTCACAACACCTCGAGACCGTTGTAGGTTTTGCCACTACACCCCAACAGATAGTTTTCCATCCAGACCTCATTATTTCCTTTTCACGCCCTCTGTTTACCTTCCTTTTTCAATTGGAAGAAGAACTTTTCGGGTTTGGCTCTAATCTACCCTTGTCTGCCCAGTCACCTTCTTTCTGCTTGCTCCCAGACATTCGAGACACAAACGGTTTAGGCTCAGTAGTTCCAACACTATGGGCCCCTCATCCTTTGTGCTTTGCTCACCATACTCTCTACCTATTCCGGCGTAAAGCTCTGCCACCCAACCTCAGTGACATCACTGGGCATTATTCATCCTTCATTTTATTACCAAGGGTGAACCACCACCTGAAGAACGTCCTCTGCTTTCCCACTGCTTCTCAATAGAACCTATTTTACCGACCCTTTACTTTCCTTCCTGTGCTTTCTGTTGCCGTCCTTCTTCATTCGAAGCTAACTTACATGCGTTTGGCCTCCCTGAGTTCTTACTTTCCTACTAATTTAGGACTGAGGCAACGCGTCCCCGTCGCTTCTTCTGAGTGATATTCTTTTCCTTAATCTGCACGCCGCGTACTCCTCTCTTTGGTTCCCACAGATTGAGCTTATGCGCATTAAGACCCCTCAAACTCTCTTTGCTCCATCCTCATTTCTAATTTTGAACAATCTTTCGTTCTCTACCGATTCGTGTTCCTTCTCGTTTCTGGTAGTAGTTCGCCACTTATGATACATGTGTATATGCGACTTTTAAATAACAATTACATGTGTATGGGTACAATAGTTCAGTCATCGCTGCAACTGATTGACTGCGATCCAGGTGTATTCCTTTCGTCTGTCTGTGTGGCTGTTTCTGTTCGTCGCCTTTTTTCCGAGATTGTCACAGGTACGGCGTCCAACAGCCAAGGAATTGTCCATCGTTGCGACAACAGTTCTCTTATCCGGACATGAGCGGAAGATTATCGGCCGCTTTTACAACTTACTAACCTGACAAAGCATTCGTTATCTTGCACGAATACAATTTTTCCGAAGCTTAAAACATTGGTTTCAGCTTGCCTAACTCTATCTCTTCTACAAACTGCTTGCCCGGAGCACTTCTTTTGCCTTCGGAAGGCACATTCTTCTGCCGACACAAAGTCAGAACAATTGGGCATTCTGGGCTCTTCAATCCGCTTTGAAAGCGCAATTGGCCGTGGTTTCCTATATTTCTAATCAATTTTATTACATACCCCGAGGGATCTGCGATTCTCTTTTCGGAATCATATCAACAACAGTACAACATATTTTAATGTATATCCATCGGAGACTTCACGTGGTTCTGCAAAAGTATATTTAGTTCCTGCCCTACCAATCGGGCACAGCCATTCGTTCAAAACAGGACAGGACCCAGAAACGCTACCCAGTAGTAGCAGACCTAGCAGGGTACTTTAGAGATGGCGACTTTTGCTGATTATTTGGACTGGAGTGAAACAAGGGACCTCTAGACTCTGTCACTCTAGTCTGTTGTACCTTTAAATGTGCGTTTTAGTGTGCTAAAAACCTATCAACAGCTGGCCGCCGATCTGAATGCATATGAATACGGTTAACGATATGCTGCATATTTAATAAATTAATTAGACAATAAAATATCAACTCCCGTATCTCCAATATTGCACAGTGCGCGCATTGTAATGCTAAAACTCAAAATTAGGTCGCTTATTTTCATGGATCTGCATGTAACTATTTCGCAGCCTTGGGAGTCCGTTTGAGACATTGGATTTCCGCAACTTAAACCCTAAAATCTATCTATTGTGACCAGTTTGTCGGCACGAGCGTCAATTAAGAATCTGTGGGTCCTCTTTTATGCCTCTTATCGGTGTCCTGTCAAGGTGTTGTTGGACACAAAAGAGAACACAGACAAAAGATGCAGCAAAACGGTTTTGAAATGCATGCAAACTAGTGCTCACTCAATCAGCTGTGCATGCTGTGTTGCAAAAGTGCCAATACTCAACTGGCGTTACTATGCGTCTACGTATCGATGGTGAAACATCCAAGTGTGTAATGCATGCAGCTATATTTGCCTTAAACATACGCAACACTAATGCAATATTAGTAACTAAAGTAGAACTTATTCACTCTAAAATATAGGCATACTGATTTTGAGCCCATCTACTGGTAGCCTCCTCCTGGACTACTTAATTAATCCTCTATTTTGTCGACAGGAGAGCCAGGGAATTTTAATGTGGAACGCATTATCAATTTAATGAAATAAGTAGCACGTGGGGTTCGTGAGTTTCGTAGCAGATGATACATCATCGCAACCACATTTAAGTGTCTTCTTTAACAGTGAAGAGTTTGTAAAATCATAGGTAACTTTGCAGCAATATGGTACCTATGGATCACCATTCTATCCCGACATATGAACTGCGAGTCCTCCCACTGAAGCCTACTTTTGGCCACTCGCGCAGAAGCAAAAGGAGATGAAGACAAGTGGCTTTATATGCCCATGGATGTTGTTAGCTAATGGCCTAAATCCCTATCGGCGCCGTTGATTGCATAAAAAGCTTTCTTTTTACCCGGGCTTTCTGTCAGCGCAAGTGATCTATAGAGCACCATGAGTGACGAATAATTCGTCACTGCGGTAGTAGACACAAGTCTGTAATCGATTTCCTCGTAACCTTGACGGAATATGCATCCCGTCCGCGCAAGCAGCGAAAAGGTGTGCTTTAGTGTGAGTGTTGTAACTCCCTAAATGACCAAATGTTGGCCATCGGCAACCTAAACGTACACCTTATGGACGACATTTTGGTCACTCAAAATATTTTCCGACGCCCCCTAAAATTCCGAAAAGAAATTTTCAATGTTACTAGATCGTAAACTTGAAGCGGAAAACTACCTAGTGGTTGTAATTACGTAATGCAGTAGCCGTAAGGTCAAACTCTGAATGATTTTGAATGACCAACGCTTGACCAAACGAAACTAAACTCGGATGACTTTTAGTCAAGCATTATGTTTCAGCTGCTGTCACCTCACCATATATCGTGAGCGTGCCACCGTCGAAGCCCCAATACTACGAGCAGAACCCTCTGAGTCAAATGCTATTACAACGCACTTGGGTCCAATTACATTGGCACCAAATGTGCCACTGATGGAGCCTTTATACTAAAAGCACCAGCCTCGTAGCTGTGGTCTATTACAACACACCTGGTTCCAATTACATTGGCACCAAAGGTGCAACTTATGGAGTCTTTATACTGCGAACACGATCCTTGGAACCGTGTGCTATTACAACCCACCTGGGTCCTATTACACTGGCAGCAGGAGTGCCGCTAGCCCAGTTAAATGTTAACAATGCTTTAATCCCGAAGGAGCGCAGGAACCGCGATAACAACTGTGCTTTGTATTTAACAGAAAGCAACTAGAAAAGTTCAGTCTTGTTCATTATATCCGTGCCATGGACGCGCATGTCCCATGCAGGGTGGCATTACACAAAGTCGTATTCATCGGCTAAAATACAATAGTAGTGCGAACGTATAGCCTACTGTCAGGCAATTGAATAGGTTTTTATCTGAACAGGTGTCTTCGTTCTCATTGTTTTCTTTACTGGGCTAGCATCCATGTCAACGCTACAATAAAGTAAAAATGGGAGGTTAAATTGCACAGTATACCTTACTTTGGCACCGCATTCTGCAAAATACCTCTGTTTGCGGGGAATTCGACGGCACCCTTTTGACAACCTAGCGATGAACGGTAAGAAAAATATCATCAGTACTAATTGCGGGTGCAATATGGTGGGGTACGGTTTGTTGACGTACTCAGAAAGGCGATAATCTCATCTTGACTGCCTGCGCAGGAAATTGTTATACTAATCTCACGCTTACCTTTGTAAGCAGGGCAGGTTGATGTGGTAGAGGCAACTGTGTAATCCAGTGAAGGTTAACGGCCAACAGCTAAATATCGAAGGAAAAATTTGCCTTCTTACCGGTAGTACAACTAGGCACTGCCATCATGGGCAAAGATACCGTTTGTGAAGCGTTGACACCAATTGTACAACGGGCTCCTGATTACGCACGCAAACGCTTTCGATGGTTAGGTAACCGACTGTGTGCACAGCGAACTGCGTCAACGACGAAAGGCTTTCTGCATGTGCAACCTAAATCTGCGGACGCCATAATTTTCGGCCAACGCGATTGGTTCTTGGCACGTTGAAAGCTTGATGAACCACAAATTACTTGGTTTGTCCTTCGCAGAAGCGCTTGATACAGTTCCGAAAATTCGGATAGATTAACCTCTTCAGCTGCACAGATGTACAGAGGTACAGCTGTACAGAGGTACAAAATGCGCGCTTTTAGATGTGGTTGGTTTCGTAACAGAAGTTTTAACGTTCGCAACTGCATGGACTCTGTGTGTAGGTTGTAGTCCGCCAGCCAGCGAATGCAAATATGCATTTGGCCTGTAAATGGATGCACATATCAGAAACGGCTTACTTGTCTGGTCGCGCGCTGCTTGTATGCCGTCATTAAATGCACACACCGCAGCCACATAGTTTCATAAAATAGACAGGTACATGTGCCCAAGGAGCACTTGATGGTGAGGCGGTTTACCTGGTGAGCTATTTCAAACTATGGAGGCGTCAGCAATTTTTATTCACATGCCACTCCATCTCCAAGGTCCGAGCAAACTGCTTGCAACAAGCGTTGTGCTAGATGGCGCATCACTAAGTTGCATGCGTACGTAGTTAAGATGCAACCTACGCGATGTACGTATGCGCCGCCTTCTAGTAGCTGCCACCTGTCACAGAAAAACGCCTCATGCATCTGGGACTTTTTCAGGGGAACTTCCGGATGCTCCCAGACTTTGCGAACGGCTGCAACAAGGCCATCTGATGCATGAGTAACTTTCTTCAACCGCAGGTTGGCATTCTCAGCTCGGTTGTTTGTTGTATTGCCAAAATACACAAATCCAGCTTAGGCGTGTTTCGCCCACGAGCGTTTTAAGCACAACCAATAATACGTAAGGTAGCTCCCAAACCGGGGGTTCGTTCTTTGAAGGAGCTATAAATCTTGTTGAACTCTAAAAAAGAATATTACTAATAGAAAGAGATTATATGCAGTCTCCGTGTCCGAGGTTGCCATGCGATGAAACAGACAACGAGACCGGCTAATGTTTGTCTACAGAATGTAACGAAGATTTATCACTTACATGCTTCCTGATGGCCTGACGGATGTGGCAATAGCACAACAAAATGTCACATTGAAAACCGCGCGGGCCGCACGTATTTGGGCAGCCATTTTGTCCATCATTATTGTGCTGACGAGAACATCATGATGCATATTATCCAGAAAAGCTTCGAACAACGTAATCAAAGATGCGTAACCTTTCCGACGCAGAAACGCATAAAATATTAGCCGGCCGTAACCCATCCCGTCAGTTATTAAAAACTGGTGTAGTTTGAAGCTGCATGCAACAATTGAGGCCACTATCAATTCTTACTTCAAACGGTTAGTACCATGCGCAGCGTCTACACAAACGACACGCGAGGATCTGTGGAACTCTTCTATTTGTTGGTGCCGAGTGAATAATACACGTGTGCACAGGCCTTCCTCTGAAATAATTCGCGCAACTCCGTCTTCCTCCATAGACTTGATAACTTGATGCAGTTTTACTACAGGCAGCAAAAACCATCAAAATAAGCGTAAACTCAATGCCAGGATGCAATTTACGACGAACATTGCGGACATCATCGCCAGTACTATGCTTTCCAAATCGAACCCCGACGAACTGCTTGATGTCGCTTGTTGGTGTGTTGTAGCGGAAAAGGTCCACGGACTGACTGAACGCATCGTCCGTCAGACGGCAATTGATGGGGTGTCGCTCAAAAAGAAAGCGGTTTACTGGGTGATTGTGAGACAGATCCAAGGTTGTGACTTTCAGCTTGCGTCAAGCTCTGGTGAGGCTCACGCGAGCTTCGCAGTTCGTATCACATGAGCTGAAAGATTTAGAATAATAGAGGCAAAACCTACTAAACACGTCTCATTTCTGTAAGTTTTCACATGCGACGTGCGCAGCGGCCACATCGATAAACGACCCTGTCCTACTTCAGCCGCAACACGTCACACTTTCTGCTACTGTAGCACACGAAATTTACGTAATAAAGAAGCATAAAGTCGGAAAATGAACTGTTAAACTCATCAAAACTGTCAAACGAACGCCCAAGGAAGCTTCCCCGTAAATCAGACTCCATGGCGTACGGATTCGAAAATACTGTTCCTACCGCGTATCTGGTTTCCGACAAATTTAAACAATTGCAATATTACATTTGCACACAATTGAATAAACCTGCAAAGGCAGAAAGCCAGCCGGGAATCATGCCATATAATGACCATAGACTATTGCTTGCGCACTAGATTTTACGGGCTAACGGTGCTGCGGCAACGCCGCAGCCCCAGGAAGCAATAGGCACTCGCCTAACGCGTCAGCTAACAAACATGAGACGCAACTCGACTGCGAATAACCGAGCAAACAAGCCTTCAACAAGAAACAAAGCCAGTCACAGCTTGCCATTCAATGGATGGGCGACAGTGTTTCAGGACGCGGTGAGTTAACGCCTAGCAGGCGTTCTTCCCATAAAAAGCCACAAATGTCCATTTAACAACACTGCAACGTGGCGAATGTGACTCGCCACCGACTAAAGTCACAGTTAATAACTTCACACTGGCAAGTCAACTAGTGTCACCTTTTTAGATAGGTTCGTTGCACTGGAACTTCTACATCTGCATAGCGTGTTGTCTCTTATTCCTACGAGTTCACGCATATACTGTCGTCTCTTTACTTTCTACGATATCACCGTTGACCCTTGCGTTACTTATGCACGAACTCATTATATTGTCATATGTCTCTCGAGCGTGCTCTTTAATTATTTCCAATGGATCATCCAGGATCCTCAATCTATTATTAACGGAGGTATGACTGCAATATATTGCAGACCGATTATATCCTAACAAACTAGTCGCGAGCTCAGGACAGCTGAATAGTTGTTTCGCATTTCCACCACTGTACAGTTCCAATCATGGACATAAGCACAATTTTTTACTGTCACTGTTATAGTTGCCATAAAATCTCTGTACAGTTGCACATACCTGATCATGCCACCATGGGCGTGCCACGCATATCCGAGAACAAAATTTTTATTTTTTATTTTCTCGTCTACATGCCCCAACCCTCTCCTTCGACCGACTGGCCCACACGAATAATGCTTTCGAGGACCCTGACGAAAACGCTGGTCGTTTCTCCGCGGGTCGAGTGTCGCTCCTTCGCGGGACGAGGGTCATTTCTTCGTGGGACCATGCTCGGCTCTCCTTGGGACGAGGGTAGTTTTGGCGCGGAGCTGGGTGCGGCGGGGGAGAGACCACTCCCAATCGCATCGTGTGGCAGCATCGGAGGTTGAGGTCCTGTCGGCGATCTTCTGGGCTAGCCAGTTATTGTAGTCCGACAAGCCCGCTCTAACAGCTCGTTGAAATGCACCCTGCGCTGCAGTTAAGAAATAACAAAGCACAAATGGCACAGCGGACTCCGACTTACGGCGAACCCCCACTCGACACGAAACTTCACTCGTTTTTACTCTACACGGTTTTGCCTTACAAACCTCGATGCAACAGTCCTTTCCGAAATCAAAGGCTTCCTATATTCAGCCTTCTAGGGGGCAACTCTGTTACGCCCTAAAGGATAACCGCTATCTTTTATGTACAAGTTCATTGTTGACCGATTGTACATTATTCCTTCTTGTTTTAATCTTCCTTACACCCGCCTCGACACTGGACCGCCTTGTAAGTTCCCGCGCTCACATGTTCGCTCTTGTCCCAATTCATCCGTCCGCGTCTTCCTGTATCCCATCAAATACAGTCCGCTGTGTCCGACTCCAATTGCCTTCTTATATCGGCGCTTAAATTCGCGCACCGTCTCGGACTAGTATTAAGTAGTCCTACAATACCCCAGGCCACACTTCCTTCACTACAAAAACAGGCACAGTAATCATAGAATAAGCTATGTCACAAAGCCAAGATTACCTCCCATCCCGTCTCATATGCGTGCAGCCATTTGCAACACCCCTAATTATGACCCCTTTTAGTACAGGAGGGAATGGAGTCGCGGCAATTCCCACGACTTAATACCCGGCAGAAGCCAACTACCTGTTACCTATGTTCCTGCAAATTGGCAGATGACTCAAATAGCCAGCTGCCACGCCAGCCGCAAATAATACATGCTCCTTCAACCACCTCCAGTTTCCCAGCAATATCGGCAATCACAAATGACAAATTACCTACATCACTAGGATTGTTAAGAGTAGACTCTATCCCGATGCTCCGACTCATATGTCCTGCGTCCATGATACCTGACTAAAACAACACGTATAACAATGAACAACAACACGATGACCCCAAAACCAATAATCCTTTTCTATACTTCTACTTAAGGTCAGGGCTATTCAACAAGTTGTACTTCTTAGGCACGTCTGCGCATATTAACGATCCACAAGTAATCCTCATCACTGAAACGTGGTGATCCCCTGATACATGAGATACCGCCTTAATGACTCTTTATTATCAGCTTTTTCGATAAACTCGCAGCAGAGGCCAATGAGAGAAAGCATGATATACTTACATTGTATATTTGCGGCTGAACTACTTGATCATCCATAGCTAACAAATGTTCCCGGATCTCTTCTGTTGTCCGTCCCAGGAATCGGTTCTCACATTCTATGCGACTTTGTTTACAACCCGCCAACTGCATCAACTGCGAGAGGTGCCATCATCACTTTGGCTTCCAATCTGGTTGCTGGGATGCTACACAGACAGAAGATAATTGGTGGTGATGTTAAGCCATCAAAGATTAACTGGTCCTCCCGGCTATCCTCGTATGCACATGCAGCTTGCTTTTCCTCTTTCAGAATTGGTGGTTAGAGACAGTGAGTTACTGAGCCAGCAAGAGTGGCCAATAGACATGACCTGATAATCAATTTAGGGGTCACAACTGCTCAAACAGCGGTATTAGACAAACTCTCTGGCATGATTCACTTTGCGTTTAAGTGGCCACCAAACACGCATTCGTTCCTCAAGGTGTAACCAATAGGATAACCTGGAAGCAATTACAACAATTTAGGCGAGCATCCAATTAGAACGCATTCTTTCTCTAACAATATGGGAAAGCTCGTGGACTATTTCCACCACAGGGTCCAGCAGACCATGGCCCTCCTTACTCCCCAAGACAAGGGGATTACACGTTGCAGAAAGATGCAATCCAGTGGAAGTCGGAAACACAGAAACATACTTTCTGGATACAGAAAAACGCGAAAGTACACCTGCGTAACAGTAAAGGTTCTATCATTACTATCCAACATAAATAAATAAAAAAATAAATAAACGTTTATTCTCGACAATGCGAGACACACCAGTACAGGCATGATCATGATTAGCTAACATAGTGTGATCAAAATGTACAGAGTACATGTTTGGCATAACAGTGAATGTAAGTGTATGGGTGTATATATGTATGTAATTGTCTATGAATGTAGCTTGTATTTTTGAAGGTGCCGCAGAATTCTTGACTGTTTGTTATCGGTAGGAATGTGAGAAAAAGCGATCGATGTCCGTGAGTTGGATACCATTTTCCGGATGTCCACGGCCCAGTGACTTTATTTTGTGGCGAGTCACATCCGCCACGTCACAGTGTTGTTAAACGGATACTTGTGGCTTTTTATGGGGAGAACACTTGCCAGGCGAAAACCCACCACGTCCTGGAACACTGCCGCCGAACTATTTGCTGGAGCGGGTTAAACCTGAACCACCCAGCTGGCACCACGAGGAGGTTGTTCGGCTAGCCAGCCATATAATAAATTCTACTAAACCATCTTCATAGCTAGGTTCCGACGGTATCCCTCCTGCCGTCATAGAACTGGGATGGCATGACATGCCGTTACTTTTACTGAACATTATTACTTTTTCCTTGGCATCCGGCCACTTTACGGAACGATGAAAAGCACCGCTGGACAGCAACTTCACAAGGGTGGCTCCAAACAAGAACTTAATAATTGCTGACCAATCTATCACACCCTGTAGTAGCCAGAATATAACAAAAAGTAGTTAAGGATGTTATGATGAAATGCATCAATTCTCCGGAGCTAATAGACAGGTGCCAGCATAATATTCTAGACAAACGATCATGCATAAGCTGCCAATTACATAATCTAAACCATGTTTCGAATACTCTCGACTCAGAATGGGTATTCATACCTCTGTTTCTGGTCATGGAAAAGGCATTCAATCGAGTGCCCCACAAACGCTGGTGAAAATGATGGTTTCCTTTGGAATGCAGGACCCACACCTAGGCTGCCTTTGGTCATAATTGAGCGGCCGTTTTCAGGTAGTTACCATAGTTGACTACCACGCTTCTCCAGGGCAATCCTTAGTGGTGTTATTCAAGGGAGTGTACATAGTCCGTTACTTTTCTTGCTGTAGGGTAAGGACAGCGGTGCGGTTATCAGAAATGGCGTGCCATTCCCATTTGCAGATAAATTTAAGACAGTCTAAAATTAAGACGAGTTGCAACTCAAACTACACTACTGCTCATACAGGAGAACCTCCATTGCATTGAAAAATAGCGTGACACCTGGATGATAAAATTCTAGGCGAAAACATCTTGCATCGCGTATCGCCGCTGTTCGATAATCGAGGGATCAATTACACTCAACGACGAACATCTATGGGTACAGCTGTCGACCCGCGACCTAGGAATCAGGTATTGTTGCACCTTTAACTTTTCCGAACAATTGGTATACCAGCTGGTCAAGACCATGGAATAAATTGCTACTATACTACAGACGATCCACAGAACACAAGCCAAAGTAGAACTCTCCAAAATCCTCATTCGCCCCAGCTTGTAATACTGCAGTATTATTTGTATCAGCGTGAGTAACTCTGACAGAATATCTCGGGAAACTGCACGTGGGTCAGTTACCAAACGTCTACTAAGAACTATCGGGAGCGCTGCCAACAATTCCAGCTGGATCCGCTTTGG